AGAGCAACGCTTCCAGCTCCTGCTGGCAACATATGTATGAGTGACACACAGCGATGCAAGAAGGGGCACCGCCCCAGGAGATACTGTGCGCACATCAGCTCCTTGTGACCGTACAGCCAGGTAAAGGTAAAGGTAAAGGTTCCCTTGCTCGAAAGCCAGTCGAATCCGACTCTAGGGTTGCGGTGCTCATCTCCGTTCCCAAGCCGAAGAGTCAGCGCTGTCCGAAGACGTTTCCGTGGTCATGTGGCCGGCATGACTAAACACCGAGGCGTGCGGAACGCTGTTGCCTTCCCACCGAAGTGGTCCCTATTTATCTACTTGCAATTTCTTGCTTTCGAACTGCTAGGTTGGCAGGAGCTGGAACTAGAGACGGGAGCTCACTCCGTCATGCGGCACCCGGGTCTCGAACTGCTGAACTACTGACCTTCCACAGCCTGCAGTTCAGCGTCTTAACCACTTGAGCCACCACAGCTCCTTGACCGTACAGCCAAGGACTATGTTCACCTTTGGTCTTCCCTCCTCCCTTGTGGTTGAACCCTTGTACCATAGTAAGCAGAGTCAGTGTTACGCTGTGTTCACAGAGTATGGTTTATTGGTTCCTAAGGGCTGGTAGACTGGGGCCCCGTCCTTCCAGGGGACGTTGGGCTGCCACGGGCTGTGGGCAGTGATAGGAGCTGAGGCCCGGCTGGGAGGGGCTGCCAGAGGCTGGGAGGGGGACTCAGGGCGCTGCCCTGGGTCCAGCAGCAGGTCAGCAGGTTGACAGGAGGGTGCCACCTCCAGGGGAAACAGATCACCCAGTAGCGCAGTGGTGGCAATGCCCTGATTGCCAGTCCCTGCCCACCCACGGAATCCAGGGTTGCCAGCTCCAGGGTGGGAAACGTCAATGGGATATAATGCCACAGAGTCCGCCTTCCAAAGCGGCCAGGTGAACTAATCCCCGTTGCCTGGAGATCTGTCGTAATCCCAGGAGTTCTCCAGCCACCACCTGGAGGTTGCCAACCGATGGAATCCCAGGGAGTGGCATCCTGTGGCTTGGCCTGGTGGGGGGCTTCCTGCATGGGGCTCCCCTAGAAGTCTCACCATCCTCCACGTGGTTGGTGGCATCTGCTGAGGAGGCCTGGCTGCAGGCACAGGGGTCTCGAGGCCGCCGTGCTGGGGGCCCTGAGGGCGGTCCATGGAGGTCCAGGTCGAGGGTTGCCAGGTGCCCTGCCAGTCATCAGGATGCTCACCTTGCTGGGGGAGGGGCCTTCACTGGCAATGTAGTGATGTCGCCTCACCAGTGATCCACCTGGAAGTGACATCAGGTTGTCACCATGGACACTCCGGAGCCTCAAATGCCACAGCATCCCCTGGTGACATGCTAACGTCGCTTCCAGGTGCACAGGCAGTGACATCGTACGTTAGGACATTGCTGACCTCCCCCCTCCCATTTCCTACCATCCCCCCCCACGCCAACTAGCTGAGTGGGGGCAGAGAAGTGCCCGCTGGGCTTGGTAAACCTAGGGTGTGTACACAGGGGATGGACTCGGGGGGGGGGGCAGGGCCCCGGGGGGCAATTCCCTGGGACAGCAATGCAGTGGCTACCTTCCAGGGGGCGAGTCCCATGGGGGATCGTACCAATGTCTGCCAGCCTAGGTGTGGCCCATATGTGGCACTGTGTTGCCACCTGCCCCAAGCCCCATTGTTGGGTGATAGTGAGTTTTGAAAAAATGGTATTTAGCAGAGATAAAATAATCTAGCAGAGCCAGAGTAAAATAATTCAGACTGAGAGTCCATGTGTGATTAAAATATAAAGTTTTTACTAAATTCTAGCATGGGAAGGGTAACTGGGATGAAAATAACAACAGAGCATAACCGGCTACATCCTTATTCTACGAAGACAAAACTAGAAGAGGGAGAGTATGGCCACTCTTCTTGTTCTTCAGAACACAAAACAAAGACGGGAAGAGAAGTCATAAAATGGTAATACACCTTGACACTTTAGTCCCAATCAAATTCCTAGATCAGGGAGAAAATTCCCGGGTATTCTACAGCTAAAGAACATTGGTTACATGAGAAACATGTGACTTCCTGTGAGTAACATAAACAAACATTTAACCCCAAATATACTGAGTGTTTTCAACTTGTAATACCCAACACCCATGCATGCTGTAACTTCCCAGGTGCCACCATGATAGTGTTGGGGGGTGGGGAGTTGGCGGGTGTTGGGCCTGCCTTGCTCCATGGCTGACAGTCCGTTCCGTGACTGCTTGGCCAGAGCAGCAACTTCACCCAGTTTGGTGTTGCCCTGACTCCAGCAGGTCAGCGTGATTGTTGATGGCATAACTTCTCGAACTTTCTAGGAGGTAATGCTGGACTGGGCCAGTTTAGGGAGTTGGCTAACTCCTGCCATGCCTCCTAGCCCACGCCTTCCTGCACTGGCAGAGGGGGGTTATGCTGGCAACACGCCGGTGCATGGCTGCAGTCAGGCTGGGCCAGAGGCTTGGACGCTGCCCTGGCGCCTCTCCAATTAATGGAGGTGCATTTCAGAGATATTCCAGGAGAGCGGCCAGTTGGCTCCCTGCATGCTTTGCCCCTCAGGATTGCACTGTGAATGTCCCAACGCAATTGGATCCAAGAGGAACTGTTAGAGTTGGGCTAGCTGCCTAAGAAATACCCTGGCCAAGGGGTCAGCACCAGTACCAACAACCTGTCCATGAATACCTGGAATAACGAGTCAAGCAGCTAAAGTGGCCACCTCTTTCAAAACATTTACATAAAATTAAACAAACAAACAAACAAAAATACCCTGGCCATTGCTCTTTTGCATATATATAGTCAGAGTGTTTGTTAATAACAAGGTAGTGACACAGAATGACAGTAAATCTGCTGCTTGGGAAACTTCATGGAAAGGAAGGAGTACTAACTTCCCACTTCCCAATTCTCTTAGTGAAATATATTTCCCCCAGTAATTTTACTTATGTTTCAACTCCTGTTATGCCCACACTACCAAAATAGCTAAGCACTCATTCAATTAAAACTATTTTTTTAGAGAAAACATTTTATCTTTATTCCAATAGTAATATTGTGGACTTAATACTGTTTGCAAACAAAACAGTATTTTAAAAGAACTTAGTTTTGCAGGAAAGTTATTACTCTCTCTTAAAGTGGAACTTCGTGTGTGTTGACGGGACGTACTAAAACTAAGGGAATACATGAGTGCCCCATAGAGAATAATGGAGAGTAGGCTTGCCCAGAGGGAATAGTGCAGTACATAATTGTCAATAGAGAATCCAAAATTGCCAACAGAGAATCCATGACTGCCCATAGGGAATAATGGAGAGGTCGCTTGCCCATAGGGGATAATGGAGTACATAATTGCCAATAGAGAATCCCTGACCGCCCATAAGGAATAATGGAGAGGACGCTTGGCCATAGGGGATAATGGATCAGGGGCCGTGGGCCGGCTCTGGCGATGGGGCGGCCTCTAGGTGGCCTTCTGTCCCTCCGCCGACTGCCTGCGGTTCCCTGTGGGGACGCCGCGCGCCCGGCCACGGACTCCTCTGCGCCTCCAGGTGGCTCAGGGGCCGCGGGCCGTCTAGCGCTCTGCCAGGGCTCCGGGAGGGGCGAGCACGCCTCTTCCACAACGCCACGCTAGAGGCCTGTTGCATTTTGGGCCGCAATGGGCCTTCCTCCTAGTAGGGACATAATTGCCAACAGAGAATCCATGATTGCCCAAAGGCAATATTGCCCAGAGGTCATTCCGGCTCCCCCGGCTCCCGTTAGGGGCTCTTTCCAAAGTTATGGCTGCCGCCGCTGTCGGCAACAGCTAAAACAGCTGCAACTGCCGG